GATTTTTGGGCAACTAGATTTCAATGAATCGAGTTGGGTTCAATGGAACCTATTTGCTGCGTTACATCAAACCCAAATCTGCTGGGTTCCGTCGAACTCAGCTCTACTTTTTTTTTTTTATATGTTTATTTGTCAAGAGTTTATCTAAATTGCAAGTTGTTGTGAGCAATTTTTGGGATTCTTTTTTTCATATTTTAAGTATTGTTTAAATGATTTCAATCTTAAAAATAGAAAGAACATTGTCGATGGAAAGAACAGAAACAGTAACCGATGTGCAAAAGAAGCAATTCTTAGTGGTGATGTGAGACCTATTTGGACGGATTTGGCACGTTTTGGCCACGGTAGCATGACATGGCAAAAGTTTTGTGCATATTATCACTTTTTTAAATTTTACTCTCCACATCATCAAAAAAATATGTAAAAAATACCAAAAAAATATGTAAAAAATACCACATTGGCAGAGTTAACGGCTCAAATTAACAGAAGGACTAACAAAGTGCATTTCGTATAATTGATGGATCAAAAAAGTGCAAAACTTTGTTGAAAGACCAAAAATGTGCATTTCGTAAAGTTGAAGGACTAAATTTAACATTTAACCTAAATAAATATGCTAATAGCTCAAGTAATGAACAAAGTTTGAAACTCACTAAATTCATAATTGTCTTATAGTTCTATTTTGCTCAAATAAAACACTAAAGTAATTGAAATTTTTAAATAAAGTCACAATTAGATCAAAACTATTAGGTCTAACATTATTAACCCTGAGTGACTTTGACTAAATATCTGTTAAGAGTTGTTAATAATTGAAAAGTTTAGTTGTTTATACTTGTTGAGTCGTCAAACATAGTTTTTTTTTTTTTTTTATCATGTTGTCAAACACTTTTATTATTAACTAGTGCTAATTAATTGAAAATTTTCTGTTTAAGTTGGGTTGATATTCAAAATTAGCCAAAACTACATGATTTAAAAGTTGGATAAACATTGAACAAGGTACCAAACCTCCACTAAATTCACAATTGAGATCCCAAAATTCATTGCGCTCAAATAAGGTTATGAAATGAGGTCCAAATTGGATGAAAATTATTATTTGTTAAATTGATCATTAATGTTGTTAATTATTCTAATTTGGTTAAATATCTAAAATGCATGATCCCTAGCTATTTTATTTTATCTCGTAATAACCTTAAAGGATTCAATTACCTTGAAATGCTTCTTGAGCTTATTTGTTATGATGATGTGACAATTTTGTAAGACTTATAATTAAAAATTAATTTTTTATTTTAATAACATGACATTTATATGGCCTACTATAAAAAGTTGCACTATTATTTTTTATAATGGTACCAAACAATTTATATCAATTAGTTGAATTGTAGCCATAAAAAAAGGGTTAAATCAAAAAGGAACAAAGGAAAAGTGATATTATAGACAATTCACAAATTCATCATCATTTTTATAATAAATAAA